GCCTTTAGCACAATTTATTCAGCGGTTTGGATGGAAGGTCCTCGATGGATTTGGGATGAAATGGCTGATCAATGGACTCGTAATGGTCCCATAAGAGTCGCTCTAAAGCGACTTAATAACTCGCAGAACATAAGCGCCGACTATTTGAATCAAGTTAGTATTGTTTTATTTATTATTATTATATTTGCTTAAATTTTTAGCATTAATAACATATTTGATAATTTAATGAAGATTTATAAATATCACCAATGTGAGAATTTTTTTGGAATAACCAAAGATCATTCCTCTAATTATATGTTCGTAATGAAATACGAAAGTAAATCCTTAAATTCATATATTGATGAAATTCAAGGAATGATTTGTTGGAGAGATATTGTTGAAATGCTTTGGGAAATAGCTGGAGGGATTGAATACATTCATGAGAAAGGATTAATTCATGGAAATCTTCACGGAGGTAATATATTGGTTGGTGATGAACAAGATCCAGTTAGCAATAATACACGTTTATCAGGCGACTTTAAACCTTCAGTAGGTGAAAAAGTAATTTATGGAGTTCTTCCTTATATTGCACCCGAAATCTTGCAAGGAAATTCACTAACAAAGGCTGTAGATATTTTCAGTTTTGGAATTATCATGTGGACACTTTCTGCAGGGGCGCGCCCGTGGTGTAATAGATTACATGATTCTAAATTGGCCAGTGAAATTTGTTCCGGTCTTCGTCCTGAAATTATTGATGGAACCCCATATGTTTACGTTCAATTAATGACACAATGTTGGCATTCTGATATCTCTAGACGTCCAACTGCATCTGAACTATATGATATATTAGGAAGCTGGATAGATGTCATTGATCATCCTAAACCATCCAAATTTACCGAGCAATTTGAACTTTCTAACAAAAAAAAAATTTCAAGCTTTCGTTTGGAAAGAATCCATAATGAAGCTTTTTATACAAGCAGGCTCTTGTATTTCCCTGAATTACATTACCTTAATGAAGATATAATCAAATACTAAATATTTTTTATCGAAATCATATAAAACATATACTGCATTCAAAACTTCTATAATAATTGAATAAGTTGGCAAGTAAAAACGTAAATAATTATCGAAAACAAAATGTAAATTGGCTTTTAAAAACGTTTAATATTATCGACAAAAAAAAAAAGGACATTTTACAAACGACTTTATTTATTCTTCGCAAAAATTAAATCTGGCTCTATTATCGTCTATAAATCATAATCCTTAATCGCATTTAATAGAAATCAATAATAACTAGTTTACCAATTCCTTAAAAGCTTTAACAATAATCCGTCGCTATGAAACTCAAATAACCGTACCTAGAAATCACAATACACTATAGAAATTAGAAATTAAGACATAAGTATCATAAGCTGTAAAACATAAACTCTTTGACGTATGATGATATATGAGAAATTTATAAAAAGTAAAAATTGATGATAGATTAGTAGTAGTAGTCTAATAGAAGTTTCTTATTATTTAAGTAATTTATTAAAAAATTTGTTTTCAGTATGAAATAGTACTGGAATATAAATGTGATGAATTGATAAAGTTGATGTAATGAAGGATATTATTATTGTGATGGTAATTGTAATATAATAGATTTTAAGCCAAAAAAATTGTAATAAGTATACCAAGTTTCAAATAATAAAAAAATTGCAAAAATAATGTTAAAATTTATTATATAAATAAAGTATATGCTATTATAATTTTCATTATGGTCCAGTGCAAAAATGTAAATACACCAATATATTTATAGTAAAAAAATAAATTTTTAAATTTAATATAAATATTTAAATATTTTTAATTATAATATAGGTTTCGAAAAATATTTTTATTATAAATTTTATTAAAATATAAAATTCCTATAAAAATTTTATTAATCGTCGATTTCTTCAATTTCGGAATCTACATAATCACTTTCAGCCAATAATATATTATCACTTGATTCTTTATATTCTATGGCTTTGTCAAGTGCTCTTTTCAAAACCCAATAATAACTTTAGTAGTAGCCTTTTCATTAAAGGCATGCAACAAATTATCTCTAATAACTAAAAGATTTGAGTGAGGACCGGACCTAGCAACTTCACCTTTAACAGTTGACCAAACTCCTTCGATTGGTTGGAGTTCACAATGATAAGGTAAGGTATAACACAAATTGTGACCATATTCTCTAGCTTTTTTAACACACTTAAAAGATACATTTGCTTTATTTTGTTTTACTAACTCATATAATTCTGCTTTGGTAGAATTTTCGCGAATATTAATACTAGCTGAAGTTAACCAAGAAATTAATGCATCCTTTTTTGAGTTTGACATTGATATATGTTCAATTTGACATTTGTAATACTGAGCACCATCCATCAACTCGACTAACTGTAATTATATTTTCATTAATTAGAATTGGAAACACTGGTACTTGTTGAAGAATAGAAAAAATTACCTTATTAAGAAGATGATGATAGAGGCCAGAACTGGGTTTATTTTTATATTCAGATTTATTTAATTTTAAAAATCAAATCAAGATTTAAATCTGAATATCGAATCTCTATTTCAAAAATTGTGCAGATCAAATAAATTTTTTTAAAGCTAAGCTTAATAAACAAGCACTTTTTGCTCTGAATACGCGCGGGAGAATTCTGATCAGAGGTTATATCATATCGTGATCTCTCAGTTGTTCAGATTTATTTTTATTTCTATTATCGAGTCTTTATTTAGTGGTTAGTTTAGAATTTCATTAGACTTATTTGGTTTATATGCCTTAACCTTCTGTATTCTGCGAGAACTTCCTTGTTAGTTTTAAGGATGTTAAAATCAAAGGATATTATTCTTATACAGTTTCACAAGGGGGTTCTGCTCATCACTATATATACTTGACCGGTTGAGAACATTTTTTCATCGATTGTTAGAGTAGTGTGAGGTAGTGTGAGACTTTGTGTTTTGTGTACAGTTAATGCAAATGCATTCTGAATTGAAAATTGACATCATGATGCTGATATACCATATGATGTCATTTTTTGTACGTTAATTTTAGTTATATTATCAGTCATAGAAAAGGTTATCTCTATATTATCATTATCTGTGATTTTTGTTACTACTTCGATACTTCCATTACATATTTCATGTTTGAAAAGTTTATTATTTAAGTATATCATACGAGCATCTTCTTGTATTATTATAATGTTTAATAAGTTGGTATGATTTTTAAAATGATATTGGTCATTTTCGTTATCAATTATTTAATTGTTGAGGTTATCTATAAGTTTTGATATGATAATTTCTGGATTCTTGTTATTTATTGGTAGGTTATTGCAGATGAAGAAGTTGATTTCTTAGGTAGTTTCGCAAAGGCTAATAATATATGTTAAATTTATTATTGCATTTATGTTAGTTGTTTCAGAGATTTTTTGGTTTATCATCGATTTTGATTTTTCAGAAAGTTGTCTAAATCTCAATTCTTGTAGGAGGTTGTAGTAATCTGAATCATTTTTTTGTCATTTTAGTTGTGATAAGAAAAGAGGAAAAAATAGTTTTCACATTGGTGAGTAAAATATTTGTTATCCATTGATAGAGGGTAGTTGAGTGAGATCACCTACTGCAAGAATTGGAATGGTTTATGATTTTTTTGTGTTAAACCAAATATGTTGCTTATAAAAGTCAACAGTTTATCAGATACCATAGAGATTTCTTTGATTATGATCACTTTTATTTTTTAGCAACTCTATTTTAGATTTTTCATTATCTAATATTAGTATTTGATAATGATCATTATATTATCTAATTTTGAGGGCAGAGTGGATAATTATATCACTTATATTTTAGATGGATATTCTAGTTGAAGCTAATAATATGTATCTAATATTTTTTGATTCTATCATGTTTGTTATATGTTGTATCATGAATGAATTTCCAGTTTTTGCTAATCCAGTCATAAAAAAATATGGATATTTGTTTTCTTGTTCAGTATTCCAAATGTTGCATAATATATTATTAGTTTTATATTGTTCTTCATTGAGTGTTAGGGTTAAGGTTGATATTAAGGATGATTTTATATTATATCCCAAAGTTCATTTTTATCTAATTCTTTTAAAACTAATCTAATTGCTTTTTTAAATACTTCTGAGAGTGTAATTTTCATGATTAATGAACTAATTGATAGTTTATTTAAAATTTGTTGGTATATTATAGGATATTTATTTTGAAATCTTTTCTAAAACTTATGCAGTTTCTAAGTAGATCACTTTGAAATTGTTTAGGAATTTTTATTATTAGATGTTAAAAAAAGAAAGGTTCTCTATTATTAACTTTGTAATTTGTAAATCTTAGTAATAATGGCTTTTTTCTTTTTATTACATATCAGTTTTTTAGGTCTTAGATTGTGTATAATTTTGAATTAATTGATGGTAGTTTAGTTGTAATATTATAATTTTTAAAATATTCTAGGTAGATCATATTTTGAATTTTTCATTACTTGGTCTATTATAATATTTATCAATTGCATTATCAAAATATGGTTTATCATATTTATCTTCATCTTCTTTATCATCATTATTAATTTGCATATATATTGGTTTAACTGATCAGATTCTTAATTCTGATAATGCAGATGGAAAAAATTATACTGCTGCAAATGATTTTATTATTAGATATTGTAATAGTAGTATCATAAGTTCAATTAATCCTAATCATTTTATTTGTACATGCTTTTTATAAGAATCTTATTCCTTTATATCAAAAATTTCTGTTAGTTCAGCTTTAGTTACATATTTTGTTACATATTTTTCAAATCTGATTGTAGTTATGTATTGAAAATTTATATGTCTTTACTATATTAGTAATATTTCAGGATGATAAGGAATTATTCAACGATCAATTTCTTTTGTTTTCTTGTAGATATATCTTTTAAAATTTGATTTACAATATGTATAAATTGATAAAAGTTGAGGAAATCCTTTTTACATTGTTTTATATTTGTTTCTAAACCTCCGCATTTTTTTGTTATATTTATATATTTAGTATATAGAAACTAATTAATAAAGTATTAATTTAGTGATTTGATTTAGCATATCTACGCATATTATATTTTTTTAATTAATTCCAGTATTTTTTTTCAGTATAAGCAAATCCATGTATATGTATAGTTTCTCTATTTTGAAATTTATCTCTTTCAAAATAATAAAGATATTTTTTCTATTATACAATTTAGGATCTTTTAAAGTTTATTACGTATATTTGTTAATCTATTATAATAGTAAAAATATATATGCAATGGTTTATTAGTTAGTAATAGATCTTTATTATCAATATTTTTTAGTATTTCTTTTAAATGTAACCATTTATCTTCTTCTATTGTTATAGTATAAAAGATTTGTGGTAATCTATAAATTTGAAACATTATATTTACTTGATATTGTTTTTTTTAAAATAATGATTCAGAGGTTCAGATGGATGATAATATTGTTATTATAAGGGATTCATTTATAATAAGTTAGTTATTATAAATACTTTTTGCTATAAAGTTTGCTCTAGTTAGATATAATTACGAATAGTATTTTTTAATTTAGTATTCTATTTTGATTTTTGTAATTGCATTTATTTCAAGGTTAAGATATGATCAAGGTAAACAATACCAATGAAGTCTGAATCTAGAATCAGGATATAATAATCATAATTTAATATATTTACCATAATTATTAACATTCTATTTAAATACTAATAATTTTTTTAAATCTTTATAGTGATAATATCCAAATGAAAAGAAATCAGGAAATAATAAGGATTCTATATCAGAAATATAATTAGATATAAATTTTTGTTATCTATTTTTATGAAACTTGCTATTAAGTATTAATATTTGTAATTTTCATTATATATTTCAGTAGAAAAGTTTTTATTTGATACGATTAATGAAGGAGGTTAGTTTGTGTTAACCATGAAGATATATTAATTAATCTAGCTATTGGAAATGGTTGATTTATTATATTTTGTGTTAGTAATTCAAAAGATGATAAATGATTATATTCTTAAATATAGGATTATTTTCTTTTAATCACTAACTTGCGAGTATTAATGTTAGATAGAACCAGTTAGGAGAATCTTCTTGTTCTTGATTTAAAAAGGTTCTAATTAGACCTAAATGTAATTGAAATGCATATTTGTTTTTGGAAAGATTAATGAATCCTTTTAAGTGTTAATAGTTTGTATATGAATTAGATCCTAAAGTTCGACCTAATATACAATTCATATATATTAGTAATAAGTTTTTTCAATATATTATAAGATAGCATTTATTTCTTCTGATATTAGAGACAGGATTGGTGAATATTAACAAGTTTTTTTAGATTTATAAGAAGAACATATAGAAATTTTTGTTTTATCTCAATTGTTTAAGTGAGTTACTATTTTAGTATTTAGAAAAGTTATAGGTAATGTATATTCTTTAGTTGTATTGTAACTAATCTAATTTGTTATTTAGGTTCATTAATATTGAACAGTATATATATGGTATGGATAGATTATCATATAAAATATTTTCTTAAAATTCATTTAATAAGTTATTAAGTTTATCTCATATTTTCATGATTCATAGTTTATTATAAAAAAAGAAGAAGTATATATGTGATTTTAATTGTTTAATATTACATTTTATGAATTTTGTATATTTTGGTTAGTTTGGTTTTGTACTATATAGCTATCAAGAAGTGATACATTAAAAATATTTGGTCATTATTGTAATATTAGATTTGGTTTTATAGAATTTGAAAATTATATTATATTATGTAGATATTTTTGGTTTTGTTTTTTTTGTTATTTTTTTTATTATTATAATTATATTTATTTTTTTGTAATTTATATATAGTATCGATAAATTAATTAAAAAAGTTTTATTTAATTATTTATTATAATTTATTTATTTAATTTATACATGCTTAATGATAAATAATTAATTAAGAAATTAGTATTTTTTTATTTATCGGTCTATCTTTCTTTAGTTTAAAATTTTTAATAAAAGAGTAATTCAAATTGTTTTTTAATTTATTTGATTTATTTTTTTTAATAAATTTGATTTAATATTTTTTTTATTAGATAATAAAATAATAATAAATTTATTACATCAAAATCAAAAAAATTTTTTTATTTTAACTAAAAATAATTAATCAGTTAGTTAATTTATTAATTTAGAAATATTTAATTTTTTATATTTAATTATTAAAAAATAATAGACTTTTTTTTATTGTTAAAAAAGAACTAAAATAATATTTGACATAAGAATAGAATAAACTACACTAATGTGAAAAAAAATATAGTAAGAAAAAAAAGATTAGAATTTTTACGCTAACTTTTATTTATGGTGGGAAAAAAGATTATTTTTTATTTTTTTCATTGCAGATCTTAATTTGAATAATCTTAAAGATTTTCAGGTAGCATTATTTTGATATTTATCATCTGATTCTTTAACATGATTTTCTTCATAATTATTATCATCTTTTCTGTTAGATTCTTCTAATTTAATTTTTATTTCTTCTATTTTGATTTATTTTTGATCTATTTTAATTGATTTTTTATTTTTTTTGTATTTGTTTTCATAATTTATTAAATTTTGGTTATGTCATTTTTTATTATTTATAGTTTGTTTTAAGGATGATATGCTACTTTTATTTTTTAAGTATATATTATTCTATTCCATATCAGTTGTTACAATATGTATCATATTATCTTTCTTATACAATTCGTTGCAAATAGAGATTATTGCTTTAGATTCAATTACTCTTGTGATACTAATATATCTAAGATTAGCAGCATCATATGAACATGTGACTTCTAATATTAAATAATTAAAAGTCATTGGATTATATGCCTTTCATTCTAAGATGAAGTAAGAAATTGAATTTTTATTAATTTTTGAAGATTTGCATGCGGTTGAGTAAATTCTGAAAGCTGAAGATATTGAAAGATCTTTTATTAATGGTTTATCTTCAATAGTTTTTATATCCAAAGATATCACTTGACTAATAGTGACCTTTTTTTCATATTTTTTTTTATTTTAATTGAATTAGAAAAAATTAAAAGTTAGAAAAAGAAATATTTTTTAATTTAATTAGTATAATTATTTTTAAAAATATAATAAATATATATTTACGTTAAGTTCGAAATTTTCTAGGATGCATTTGCTAATAATTAGCATAAAATTTTATTTTATTCATTTTGATTAATCATATGATTATTAGCAAAGTTAAATACTTTATAATTATAGTTTACGAATTCATCTTCATCGCTTCAGTATGTAGCAATTTCTATTAGTATTACATTACTAGAAGTTGTTTTAATAAGGGAAATGGTAGCAAATATAAATGTCATTATTCTTTTT